TAACTCTTCATTTTTTATATACATCCATAGCATACATGAATAAAAAATACATAATTAATTGACAATTGTACTTGATAAGTTATAGATATGTACCACGTACGTATAAGGATGATTTAAGCTTAACGTACTTACTCATTAAGTAAAAATGTTTAAAAAAAGAAAATTTAATTAAGCTAACTTGATAACTGGTCAATGCCTGCCTTCATTATTTATCATATATAGATACAGGGACTCCGATTGCTACGAATGTCGTAGTAATAAATAATAGCGTATAATATAACGACCTAAAATGAATTTTGAAAACCACGTAGTGGACGTTATTATGACATGGGTACCTAGAAGTTTTTAATTCACAAAAGAAACTTTATGCTCGCAGTTCGATGTATACTGTCGTTGTAGTGTAACAGCTTCTAACGTTTTCGAAGCCCAATAATGAATGTGATTAAAATTGCATTAACTAGACGCTAATCACTAAAATCATTAATTCGCAAAAATTCTAAGAATCCAATTTGTCTAAAACAAATTTGTCCAGGACTGAAGGATAGCCAGCATTTTTTAAACGTTATTTTAAAATAAATTTATTTATAATTTGGTGAACCACTTAACAAAAATTCTAGCCCGCTAAAATCTCTGTGATCATCGAACGATGCGTACAATCAAATGCCATATCAAATGACTAAATTGAAAATTTTTAGATCTTTTAATAAATTTTTTCATTTACCACTAGGAATTAATTCGAAAAATGTATCTTTTACAAATAATTATATAAAAATTTTTGAGCACGTTTTACATACAAAGACATAAAACAAATAGCTTTCTAGAAAACAATAATCTATTCATAGCCACTCAAAATAGAAAAAAACTGTGACACGATTAAATATAAGATTAAAGCATTTTTTTTTTTTTTTTACAAGAAAATTATTGAATACTAAATCTTAAGTACTATATCTAGAACTACACATTTGATGACTACATAATATATTTATTATCCGAACTTGAGTGTTTATGCTATACAAGTAGATTTAGTCAATAAACACAAAGAGTTAATCTTGTTAAATAAAATTATCAAATTTGTAACCTGCTTTACATGATTATAGTTTTAAGTGACGTTGTGTAAAAAGATGTCTTTTATTTGATTTTAGGATATTATATTATGTTTAAGTATATTATACCTAGCTATAATTTACAAGTTACTGAAAATAGCATAAATAAAAGATAAGACTCTTATTTAAATAATAAGGAGGATTAGCTGGATTAGGTTATTTATGATTTTCCTTGTTATTTTAGATAATCTTGTATTCCTGCTATAATGTCATAAGTATAGTACCTAATTCTTGCGTTTAGATAGACGTTTATTATGCACAATGCGCAGAGTTAATATTAAAATCACCAAATTCGTTGTTTTTTCGCGGTACATTGTGCTTACACAGTTTTAGATTGCTGGTTGATATTAGTAACAAATTAATAAATAATAGTGATATATACGTACCTACTTATTTTATTTCTTATTAAAACTTAAAAGTTTACTTTATATGTTTTTGCATTACTTTAATTTATAGTAGCTTACCAATAGGATTTTTATAAACATTTATTTGAAATGTATATTTTTATTATTGTTTTGTTTATATATATATTCTATATGTATCGAATATATTATAAATTAAAATAAATTAAAATGTATTTAATTTTAATATTTTGATATTAACGGAAAATTATTTAATACCCAGTGTTTATTTCATTCAATCAAGCATATATTTTAAACGTCAATCMATATTTAATTTACTTGAATATCAAATAATAAACTGCCATGTACAACCATCATAAAAATATTAAAAACTACAATAATGGCATGTTTAGCTTAAAGTTACATTATTTTATTTCTTGATTACTGCAGTCTTATATAATATACCTCCTGTAAATTCAGATAAATACAGAATGAGATCAGCCATTATCGTCACTATACCTACAGCCATCATAATAACTAGATATCTCAACTGCATCGATGTACTGCTATAGTACCATAGTACTAGGCTGTACAATAAAATATACACTTATATTATGTTATGTGCTGCATCAATGGGAAGTTAAGTATCATAAACAGCTTATTAATAACTGCATGTTAACGAGAGGAACTATTTGTGTACACGAATATCAATGTATGTCCTATAACGGCATGATTATATGTCGGCTTGTATACGTTTTATACATATTTTATTATATATAATTAATGTGTCGGGTACCTTTTGAGTGAATAGGTGCCGCGATATGGGAATTTGCTACACGTGGCCTCGTGATGGACCCACCCGAATAACCATTTAAGAAAAAATACTATACAAGCTCCCCATCGACAACAGCAACAGCTGAACGTACGTAAGGTTAAGTTTTCGTCAACTGCGTAAGAACAAAATAGACCGTTTAATATATTATACCGAGTAAAGGCTCCGCGATTCGGTGGCGCAGTAGTTATGTCAAATTCCAAATGTGGTTATCAAAACGGTCATTATAAACCGTTATTATCGTGTCCAGTTTGCAAGAGACAGACGGCCGACAGCGGTAGTTTTTGTTTGTTACAATGCATAACGACCTGGAATATTAGCCACTTGTGTCGGTATACCGGTAAAGGGATACCGGAAGTCAGTTGCATACAGAAGTTTTGTACCGAGAAAGGGGTAAATTGTACCCGTATAATAGTTTACGTTGAAAAGTTGATGTTAACCTATAATAAAGTTTCCCGGCAACACATGTGCTATTGATGAGGCACGTAATGTCACGCTTGTTAGTGGACGCCCCTCTATACCGTTCAGGTCGCTCTATATATTATACCAGTTCACCCTTCAATCTCGTTACCGGAAACTTTTACACAAAACAACAAGATTATCTGTGAATTCCTACGATACGCGTTTTCTCTGACAAACCATTAAACTCTATATAGGTACCTACAACAGACTAAACGTTTGGGGAAAAGAAAAGCGAAAACCTACGAGATCACAAGTGGAGGACATAATGTTGTTTATATATGTAATATTACGTCACACACATCGTATTCATACTTTTTCTGTAATCCAGTATGATGTGTGAAACATTCAAAATCTTTAAAGTAATAATTGCTCTTTACTTTTCACGTTTAATATAATTATTATATTGGCTTAGGTATTGGATATGTTTTTATTAAATAATATTTATCATACATTTTTACGCGAAGTAAAATATTATTAAATAACAAATATATCGTTAGATTAAAAAACAAATTCATTATTAATAATATCATTAATGCCATATATTAAGTAACAACTGAATAAGTCAAATATTTATATCAGTTAGTCTTAGTCTGCAGTGCAATATGATGCGTATTTTTTAATTATCTTAGTAATGCATATAAATATAATATATATTTATGGTGAAGAAATATACATCTGAAATCATGTCAGGTATATTTAACATTTGAATTTTGTGTTGAAAAAAAATTACTGTTGCTTATAATCTTAGTATGAGTTTTGATTACCAGTATTAAATAATTTTTGCTCTAAACGTAAATAATATGATACGTAAATAGAATTTTATATATACCTACTCAAATATAATAAATGAATCGGTTTACTTATCACACACACACGATTATTATTGTATCATAAAAAATGTATATCTACGCATTTGTTAAGCACGTGAAGTAAATCAAAACAATTTGTTTTCCGAAATGTTTGCAAAGAATTTTTACGTTGCACTGCAAACACGCAATCGACAACATTATAATACCATATCATAACTCAATCTCCGCGTGGAATACATAATAATAATATTATGTTATACATAGGTAAGGTATATCAATTGTCTTGCAATCGCTAAACGTTAAAATACTTCCACACAAGGTAGATTTTATTTTTAAATCCACCTTGCTTCCACATTATAATATCATGATATCTATGTACCGTAATCCGATGCAATGTGATACGATACTGTCGCCCGAAAAGTGATTGCAAAATAACAAGAATCACGTAGTGTGTATAAAAATAGGTATTGGTGTCTGAGTTATCTAAACAGCACATAACAAACGTTATTTGACGATGACACATAAATGTCCGAGTAGTACTTTATACATGATGTGTACTATAGTGACCAGTAGGTATATATGGCTGGTATATATATGCATACTAGTAAACCGAATCGTATACATATACACCTGCAATGATGAGATCACAACAATAACCGAAACTGTGGAGAAGCTTTTCAACGGTCAAAAAGAAATATATCGATCGTTTTCCCATTACCACTGCTACCACTATTCGTTATTGGTACTACACAGGTACTACGAGACTGCGGACAACAGAGCAACGGCTTTCTACTGGAGAATTTCGCGCGTGAGGTCGGTCGTTACAATATTATCATTATTGTTATATTGTATATAAACAAAACGGTACGCCGCCGAGTCTTCATATTATACATTTCGCGACTAATATCTGTCACATAAATAATATAACATACGTTTACTTCCGAGTTATCGGTCACCGCCTTCGAATGCTTATATCATATTATAATTATAAAGGTTGTTGACCCGTTCGTCTATAACTGCTACAGATGACGTACTTGACGATGATGAAAACTCACGTCCAGTGGAAAATATGACAGGGCGAGGGCAGGGGACCGCGGCGGTTTAGAAACGGTATAACCTGCACATAGGTGCACATAATGCACCAGACTTCTTCGCGCTATGATCAATAGGTCAAGTAACTATGTAATAGGTACTTACCAAAATAAAAAAAATCGCGTCCAAAACGGAAGACGGACATGGTATATATTATATCGTTACGAGGTGATACAAATAATATCTATACACGCCTGCAAAGTTTGTGCCTACTCCTCGCGCAAGGCACGTCGTCGTCGTTGACCAAATTAACCTATCAATAATATTTAAGAAATCCCAGTCGGCTGATTCGCGATGCCGACTGCGCGAGGTCATACGAACGTAACTATAAACTATATTTAAAAAAATAAAATGCACTTACTTCTGATCATCCTGCCGTCTTCGGAGACCGCACCCGAACTCGGCGTGTCCCTGTCCGAGCACTCGTCCTTGTGCTGCTGGTGCATTGACGCCGCTGCACTGGACGACGGCGGCGACACGGGCATGTTGCCCGGTGAACAAGGACTCCTCCTCGGCGGATAAGGAAACGACGGTGGCACCGGTTGTTGTTGTTGTTGTTGTTGTTGTTGTTGTTGCTGCTGCTGCTGGAGTTTATGCTGCTGTTGTTGATGGTGCTGTTGGAGCGAACCCGACTGCTGTTGTTGTTGTTGTTGTTGTTGTTGCGCCGCTCCTTCGGCGTGCGATGTCTGTTTGTCGTCCATTTTGTAGCATTTGGACGGCGGTGCGAACGCCGAAGTGAACCCCTTGAGGCTGGCCGCGGCCGCTGCGGCCGCGTGATGCGAATGATGTTGGTGGTGCGGGTGTTGGTGGTGTGGACTCGGCGAGCCGAGCGGTTGGAACACGCCCGCCGGCGAAAACGACACCCGCGGGTCCAGCGCCGGATGCAAGAACGGCGGCTGCAGATGGTGCAGCAAGTGCGCGGGCAGCGCCGGGTAGTTCTCCATGAACCGCATATTGAACGGGATGTGTAGGTGCTTGAGGTCGTGCATCTGTCGACACACATAACAACAATACGTAATCGTGACGGCAGGTACAGTGATTTGACATTTGCGTATTATTTCAAAATCGCGAAAAACACCTTAGCCAAAACAATGTATGTATATATAATATTGTATAAGAGGGGTAGGTCACGTCATAAACAAATGCGATACATTATTCATATAATACTGACGAAGTAATCATTGAATTGCAATGAATATCTCGTAGTGTCCCTCTATTCGTCTCGGAAAATAATGTAAGTACCTACATGCAGCTCTAATCATTTTCTTTTAATATTTGTTGTTCAAGACATTTTTTACTGTTAAGTGCAACCTTGGGTATTTGAGGGACGATCATTGGTGGTGTACAGATAATTTGAAGCCGAGCGACGACGAATATATGAAGGAAAAAACCAATAAACTGCCCCAAAATACTAAAATGTTATGATAGACTCGAAAAAATTACACATTATTGAAAAATCAATAGTCTTTGCTCACCTCAGAATCTAAAATATAAATTTGAATATGGTAATATATATAAATATATATGTTAATTATTATGTATAAACTATAATATTATAAAGAAATAAGTAATACTCCATATTCACATTCTCTTAAAACGCCTGAAATATGATGCTAACACTCGTATTCTTAAAAAAAAACTTACAAATATGCTTTTAAAAATTAAAAAAATAATTATTAACTTCAATATAATACATCTTATATGTTTAAATATGCAATCATTTTTTTTTCTTTACAATTTTAAGGCATAAACTTGCATAGTAGAATAATTACACTAATAACAGTTAAAAAAGTGTCTTTTGTGTTGAACAGTTCTTCTGTTGTTTTAAAAGGTGTTTAAAATTAATGAGATTTTTTAATTTAATTTAATTTATCTTAAAAACAGAAAAAAACACGATATCGCAATTCCGAAGATTTGGACTTTAATCTAACCAAAAGATCGGAGACACACGGACATGCATGTCGCCTAATATCCAAAAATAATGATAATAATAATAATTCTAATATCCACCTCTAATCTCAAACTAAGCAAGAACGGATTTACAATAGAACGATATTGCCCTACTACCTTCCTCAATAACTTATGTAAACTTCTAAATAAAATGATCAATCTTCGTTTTATTTAGTTTCATGAAATAAGAAAACTCTTCACCATATAAAACAAAATGACTGCCACCGAAAAAGAATCTTATGAGAATAAAAAAAGAGATTGAAACACCAAAAGAGAATAAAAAATATGGGTATGATCAGCATGGTAGTGATACAGTATGAAATGTTAAAATTGACCTGGATTGAAGACTTAAAATAATACACATAATTATCACATACTAAATAAAATAGTATAAAAAGCCAAAAGGTGATTTGTTTCACTTCACACACAATTTTCATACGTTCACACATTTCAAGTAAAAACGTCAAGATAACCATTGACAAATGTACCTATATAAAAGAAAATAGAGTTCCTTAAGGCTAAAAATGTACGTAACCCTTTTCTTATCAACTATTAACAATATATCTGAGCAAATACCAAAGCCTAACTAATAATTATTCCTTTTCTGTACTCAAATTATTTTATAATCCTATGCTATATATCACATCAATAACCACATAACTATAAAACATTTTCTACAATACATGATAAACTAACTCTTATAGTTATATCTTTTTAAAAGGTTAGGCTAACTCAAAAGTATCTTGTGTGGTGCATACAATTTACAAACGTAATTTAATAAAAATTCAATTCTACGCATCACAGGGAGCTTACTAACTTACTAATGTGCCTCTCAAAATAAACAATAAACATAACCTTCGTATCGTCAAAACTATAGATTATGGATCGATATCATCAGCTAACCATTTTGTTTTAAAAATATGCAAAATTCTGACATACGTCTTTCAATGGGAGCATCCTGATTTACAGCGTTCAGAATAATACCCTATCTAACCCTTTATACAATGGTTAGAACAAACATCCTATATACTTGCTGTCGAAATTACCGTTACCAATTTCCTCATTTCCTAAATGAAAACCTAAATGAAAAAATTAAGCTTCAATACGCAATAGTATCGGAAATAAGTATTTTTGTGACAATTCCAATTTAATCAGAAATTAATCTCAAACTTTACTAACTTTCCTAAGAAATCTACCAGTCAAAAACTTTATAACGGTTATAATGAAGAATTCAAGTCTAACTTAACACTCGGAAGTTAACAGATGTATAGACCATAGAGTTGAAACAGTAATCATAATATATAGCTAGGACAATGAAATTCAATTAAAATGATTAAATAAATGTTCAATACATATAATTGCAAAAGCATTTTATAATTACTTGTGACTGTAAAATATACAATTAAATCAATGGAAGACAATCGAACCATACTTAGCGAATTCCTTAATACTTACGTTGACTAATATTTACAACACAGCACACAGTCTAACCAATATTGCATGACATATATATATATATATAAACTGTTACATATTTCAATCAACCTCTTTTTTGTAGATTCCTAGACACATTAATATCGCTGGCCGGCTCTTAGAGTCGAACAACTTAACAACCTGCTAAACTCACTTGTTCCTTCTCCACAGTTATTATTATACTTAAATATTTTACTACATAGACGTTAAAAAAGTTATAAAAAGTTATATAGGTACTCCAACTCTTTGCTGAATTTGGTTAAAACACTTAAAACTATATACATCGAACTATATCAAAATAAAATGTCAATCATCCCTTATTCTTCTTACAGCGATCTCTTCAGAAGTTAAGAAACAATGGTCAACCGACTCAAAATATAACACAAACGTTAGCCTACCGATGCCTATCTTAAGGGACAATCCAACAATTCAAAACACGTGTGGTGAAAAATCCACGGTAAAATACGTATCAAATGAATGCCGTATTTTCTAGCAATAATCGCAAGAAACTCTTTCCTTCACCCACCTCCAAGTAACCATCAGTCCGGACCATACTGCTTCAATTAAGTTATTCAAATATTTCAAACTTTCTAATCTGTATCCTGTACAATAATATATAAAATGAAATTTAATTTACATCCAATTGCTTAAACTTCTTTTATTTGCTACCTACAATGGCGTCATAGCTATTGTCAATAAAATTATAATAAAAAATAAATAATATACATACAAACAATATTTTTCTATGGTATGCATTTATGCATTACGTGCTACTATAGTAAGTATAATATACAGTATAGATATACTACAATGTAGTTGTAATTGTTTATACTAAATTGCATATCATTTTCTAAGAATCACATGCTAAATCTAACTATAAAATAAATATAGGTATTATTCACTATATCATAGTCTGTTAAAATCAATAAAAAGTGTTGAGTGTACACTTACAGTTTTTGTGTGTCTAAAGTTGTATTAAATTCAAAATGTTCACACAAAAAACCAGTTATATGTACTCAAAAAATTGTATTTTAAAATTCAATTGACGTACCTATTCATGGTTTAACGTTTGTAAATAGTTTTAAAATTCAATAATTGTATTAAAACTATATAATTTTTATTTATTTAGTGTTTATATAATTATATATCTACAAAATATATACATACTCATCATATCACAATTAATTTAAATACTTAATTGCAAAATTTGCAACAGTACTAATTAGTTCAGTGTACTCATAATAATCATAATATTATAACCATACATCGCACTAATCGTATATTATTCAAATAATCATATAACACAGATCAGGTATTCTATACTTAACGTTTGTTGATTATTACCACTGGCCTATACACATGTTCGGAATTGGATTTAACTTTTAGTATCAATACATTATTAATGCTAATATGCATTGTAATTGTAATATATTTGATATAACTTCTGTCGACGTATCGATGATGCATTACAATGAGCATTTGAAATTTWAATTTTGTCATCATGTGTAAATTTTATTACTAGGTTTTTATACTGACAACCAGCCACAAAACTACCATAACATGCAAACAAGCTATGTTTTATGCAAGCATTTGATTAATCAGCTATAAACTACGATGATATAAAATTATAAAGATAAAATTTAATGTTGCCTATACTATTTGTCAACACTAACTGTCTAACTCAACCTTATAAAATCTATAAGTTTTATTTTCATTATTAATTTATAAACGTAATTTGTCCATAAATATTGTAATCAAAACCAAAAACAATTATTGTGTGTAGTAAATTTAAATAAAAATACTGTTATTATTATAAGCAATACAAAATTCAATTATCTTAATGACACTAACATGACGTCAAACGAGCACACAACAATTTATTAGTATAATTTTCAAAACAATAATTTATGTAAATTCTTAATATTATTTAGCGCAAAACACATGAAGGAGATACATCTGCCTATTATTTTACGTTTTAGTTTTAAACTAACATATTTATATTTTATAAAAGAATAAACGCGCCACTAGTGTCATACCTACAGTTCCTATTTAAAGGGAATGATCAACGTTCGTAGTTGCTTTATTTGAACAGAAAAAGGGTGGTGGGTCATATGCAGTGGACAAGATTGATTACCACGAATATTGTGTAGAATAACGAGAAGGAAGATGTTGTGCCAGTGATAACAACGGCGAAAGTGAACGGAGTTTTAGAAAGATTTACGGATTGTCGACAAGATAAAAATGCCAGAACAAATGGCCACATACCAAACCAAATACTATTTGTATGGAAATAACACAAATGTTTACATAAAACATACATGTACATGATTGTAGCTTTGTGTAAATGGATAAATCCTTGTGGATTTGTACAGCGGTTTACTGAATACCTACCTAAGAGGGTTGTCTCAAAGTTKCAGAAAGCCTAATATAGTTTTATAGATTATGTCATAATTCGTTAAAAAAAAAACTGTTTTTACCTGAAATGAATTTATTAACTTGGCATAAATCACAATAATGTATAATGATTCGTAATGTTATGTAGTCTTATTTAATTATATTATCCTAATGAAATATTAATGATAATTATTGTTGTTGATTYACAAAATAGTTAGGTACATTACATTATAAGCACGTATTCGATCATATTTATAACAAACTTTACTATCTAGTTAATGTAATGATTGATTTTAACATCATTCATTATTTAAATATTTTTATCTCGAACACGAATCTAAAATGTTTCATAATGTTATTATTTTATTAATGTATAAACTCCTTATTATTTATCCACTTATAAGTTATATTATACTATTTTTGTAAAATTAAGTACCTATAGGTACCTATACTATTTATCGAACATTAATATTTTCGTATTATAATTATAAATTTAAGCAAATAAAACGTTTTACATGTTCATAAAAAGTAAGTAGTTTAACTGCATGCGTAAAATATAATATTTTTCCAATATATTAAATTATCTTATCAAGGGTTAAGGCCTTAATAATTCTAGTGATTTGATAAGTTGAACAACATTTAGGTACCTAGTACCTACTTGAGAAATAAAATTCTTGACAGTTATATTAGGTAATTTTCTCCAAAAACACCTTGACATGGCTATGTATTTATACGAATGTACACACAAAAAATTGTTACTTATAAACAAAGTCAGCTAAGAAAACATCAGCTTTTTAGCATAAAAATAATATAATCAGAATATAAAAATGTCTTTAAATCAGTTAGTTATTCAATCACTTAATTAGATTATAATATTATGTTTTATGAATGATTTGATGTAAATTTTATTTTGAAAAATATTGAAACAAATTCAATGACCATAGTTTGTATTCATATAATGTTGAATGTATGATTTCCAAAGCAAATATACTTTATGGTACCTTTGTAACTTGAATATAATTTATGTTTAATAAGATAATTTAATTATATTTAGTTTTCATTAATACAAATATATAAAGATTTTGATTTATATATGATATAGGTATTTTAAATTATTATCAACAATAAATTGTGTGTTCCATAAAAGAGTGGGTAATTCGTTTTTCCGTGTTAGCTATATAAAATACAGTAAAATACTACGGTGGCTTATCAATTATACTAATTATAACATACTTTATTTTATAGTTCCTTAATTTAACATAAAAATAGTCTTATTAATATGATATCTACGTTATGTTGATTCCTAATTGTGGTTCTCTATGTAACCGTTTTCCGAATAGAATTAAATGTGTAGTTGTAAAATCATGAATTACATTTGTAAATCGTAGAGTATTATAAAATTTAATAACTTAGTAATATAACATAATGAACTGTGCTATTTCAAATTTTAAGACTAAAGTAATAATTGCTTAATGCTATCTTATTGTTTGTTGAATTTTAAATGTTTATTTTTTTGTATAGGTAATAATGTCATTAAAGAAAATACCTGCTTTTTTTTGTATCTTATTAATAATATGTTTTATGATGCTTAAATACGACATCTAACTAGTTATCAACGCGTTGCATAATTTTTAAATCGATTCCGAACTCGAGAAGTTCTTAAGTACTTATTTTAGAGTGGTGACATTCCCATTTGTTAAGCTTCAAAGTAGAGATAAGCTATATTATGATGTACACTTATGTAGTGTTGTAATTTGGTTTTATTATACAAATTGCATATTATTACTAGAGAGCATTTGTTATCATTAATTAGTTTATACTGAAAATTTTATAATATTTACCTGACTAAATGGTCTGTGTAATCTGATATCTGGTAAGTTTGTCGGTGTCGGAAAGTTTACCAATGACGATGATGGACTCGGACTTTGCGAATACGGCGAATGCTCCATCTGAAAATAATATCACAATATTAATCGCTTAATAAATAAAAATTCATCGACGTAGCCCAATACTAGTCGAAGACTGTTTAACATAATAATATTATATACGATATCACCAGAGCAAACCGCGATTTATATTATTGTATTTTATACGATGTTTATATTTCCTGTTAATATTTATTATTTTATTGTATTATCATCTTGTTAATTTTTAGTATTTTATTATTATTTATACTTACACCTGACACGAATATATTTGTTTAATATTATGTAAATTATGATTATGATGATGTGATGATGATTATGTAAATACCTACAGTAATTTTTATAAATTATCAATAGCCAAAAATTGCTCATAAAAATAAAGTAACAATGTATACATTTTAAAGATCTAAAAACACAGATAATAATCTCTGAAATTGAAATGTCCAAGATATAAAAAACAAATTGTAAAAAAAATAATTGTCTAAATAAGTAGGTGCAGAGAAAATAGTGCTGTACCTAACTATCATATAATAAGCAGCAATTCGCGTTATTTGCCCCTTGCACGGTCAAGTTTGCACGGTGTAAAATAGTATAATGGTAGTATGAAAAAAAAATACAGAACAAAATATAAGCATATCAACACTACATAGATGTGTGGTAGTTAAAATCTCAGTTTATGGTTTCATTGACTCGTAAATATATCATGTGCATTTTTTTCAGTGCTCTAATTCTAAAAACGGAAGTGATGATGTTTTTCAAGGTGTGTAAATATTTCAGGGTCATTATTTCTGGATCAGAATCTATAAACATGACATTTTATATATTGCCAACTGTGAGTTGTTAAGAGTTGTGGACCAATAGCAACCGACAAACTAATGAGGCAATATAAGAAAGTATAATATATTTAACTAATTTTTACCTCTTCTTTTATATTAAAATTAACTCTCTGTTGTTGCAAGATATTAAACATATTGTAACTCGATGAGAGTAATATAGATAGTTGTGTATTAACCTGAATAATATAATATTAATATATTATAATGTAAAAGAAATGCGGCTAATCGAAATTTTCTAAATAATTCTTGAAATGGTCAATTTGACGCTTATGCATCCGGTCATCAAATATTAATTTTTGATTTTCTTAACGAACTAGCTAAATATACATATACCTACAAAATTTTACTCAGTGGGTCTTTAATTAGAACTTAAATCAAGTGTACCAATCATAAAAAAACTCAAATTTATTATTTTTGACCTTATCAAACACTTCAATTCTTAATTAGTTTTTAATTTCTTAATTGTATTCAAAAGACTGTTTACACGACAATATTTACATTGATTATATTGTTTATTAATTACTTATGAATAATGCAAAATAGATATTATGCTGAACAACTAAAAACAGGTTTATTAAACTAAACATTCAAAATTCAAATATAAATTTAATTTGTTTCAACGCCGATAGGTGGTAATGGTATTACTATAATAATTACTATTGGAAAATTAGAACGTTAAGTAAATTAGGCTTTTTTATCTACTAGCATTAACTGCAATAAGGCGTTTGGGTAATATTTAAGACAATTCTAAATTTGAATAAAGATGAATTTGTTCCGTACAAATAATTATTTAAAAAAAATGTATATAATATATAGACTAAACAAATAATCAAGCGGAAATCATTTGACAGATTTTTTTCTTATCTAATTTTGAAACGTAGACGATAATGTCATTTTAGAGTATTAGTATATAACACTATCTTATTCATTACTCTTCAATTTTAAATTAGAATTTAAAAAAATATTTTAGTTATTAAAAACCTAGACTCTTCAATAAAAACAATCCGTTCTATACGAACGAAAAAAAACACAAAATATATTTCTAAAAATAATAGAAATTAGGTATAAATCATAAGTGAATTGTGAAAAAAGTATAAAAGTGGACATTAATACCTATTATAGTTAGAATTATTTGTTAATTCAATTACAACCAACAGTAGTTGAATGTAGTTTTAGAAAATAAATGAATTCCAAATTCAAATATCAAATATTATCACGAATTCATGTCTGATAACCTGCCTAGATGTATTGGAACTTTTTATCTAATTAAAGCAAGATAAACAATGATTTATGTGTTGCGAGTAATTTTATAAGACAGTTAAAATCTTCTATTTTGTTAAGTCTTAAATCATATAGTTATCAATTTTGTTAGTAAGTAACTTAAAAATGTCTTAAACTATTATAATATTAACTATTATTGTTGAATTGTACATTTAAGTAGGTCCCAAATATGTATAACTAATACATTTTATTTTATTTTATAATAGACACATTGTTACAAATTATTACATAAGCCGAGTATCTACTAGGTATATCTGCTAAAATATATTTAGATTGTGTCAAGCAAAAAATATTTTTATGACTTATATATAATATACCTAGGTATATATTAATAATTTTGACTTAATATTTATACAATTTTTTTAATTACTTATTTAAATGTTATTTCTTGTATAATTTTATTTTTATAGATAAAATGTGTTTTTATACCTCATAATATGTGAATTTAATCAATTATACGCATAACAATTTATTTTATTTTACAGTTATTATGTAGAGTTTTTTTTTTAACAAAATATGCAAATGTAATTATTTTATATACTAATATACTGAAAAATAAATTATAATGTTACTGTCAAAATATTTGACAACACAGACATAATTTACCAACAATATTTTGTCTTTGAATTAGCTCTAACATATTTATCACTCCAATAAAACAGTAAACTATTGATAATAATATTAACAAAAAAAAAAAATTAAAAAAAAAAAATTTATTGTCGTTAAGTACCTACTAATAAACAATTAAAAATCATTAGAAAACGCTTTTATACCTGAAAACATAATGTGATATCCGAAATGGTAAGCGCTGCTAAGAAAGTACAAACTTCTAAAAATTTTTTTGTTGCGATATAAAGAAACTTTATTTAAACTGAACGAAATTTATTTTTTTAAATGACATAAGTCTTTAATGCTTACCCCGATCATGACATTCTCAGATAGGAAATTAATTATTTTTACCAACGAATATTCATAAAATATATTTCGAATGGTAATATTAACGCGTTTGAAAAATATATATCGATTTTCAATAACTTTAACCGAAATTTTTTTATTCCTCTTTACCTTAGCGTGTGAATTACTACGTTGAAATGGTGAAGGCGGAGTAGGCGACGTCGGTGGCGACAACGGCTGCAGCGTGTAGCCGTTTCGGGATTTCCCGTCAGGGAAATCGCGATCGGATAAAAATTTAAATTAAAAAAAAAAAAATAATAATAATATCGCTAATCGTTATGAAAATATGATAACGTATCACTGCCGTGTGATTTTACGGTGTCCGTTTCGTCAGCGGTATTTTTCTTTTTAAAAAAAAATCCAAACAACGACAGTGCACCGTATGGTTCGCATGTGTAATTAATGATATAAACCGTCGGGTTGTTTTTATTATTATTTTTAATATTGTAAGTGTACAATATTGTGCGCACGGCCGGTCTGGCAACGAACGCGTGGTCACGTGTGGAGAACACGGAACGGCTGCAGTTGCACCGGGGACGGATATCAAACGCGTACTGAGTGCATAGCCGACGGCGGCATCGGTGGCGGCGGCGGCGGTGGTCGTGGTCGTCTCGTCGTCGCGTTATCACGAAACGCGCGCGCGGAAATGAGTCGTCGTAGTATAGTAAGCAGCTTCGGCGGCGGCGGCAACAGCAGCAGCAGTAGTAGTAGTAGTACTGTAGTAGTAGTACTGTAGTAGAGTACTGTTGTAGTAGTGGTAAGCAGTAAGTAGTGCGTGTGCGCGTAAAACGGGCGGCGGCGGCGGCGGCGGTTGTGTGCGAGCGAGACGGTCGACGAGCGGAAAAGCGCTCGTGGCGCGGCGATACGCAGACGAGAGCGGCGAGACGGAGAAGCAGRCGGTGGACGGGCGGCGGCGGCGTCGACCACCACACCGGTCGCGACGACGTGAATACGATACACCGACGCACGCACGCGCAGTGCCGGTCCGTGACGACGACTCGCCCAGGCGTTATGCGCGCGCGAACCGAAACGGGGGGGCGGCCGTGTCGGAGTGTCCGCCGGCCAGTCCCACACCGTCGAGTCCACCCGCCCACAGGCCGCCGGCGCGCTCTCGCATTCGCCGCAGTCTCTGCGCGAGGTTTGCGCATTTCCGCCGCCGTCGCCGGTACTGAGGTGATCGGCGGCGGAAGCTGTCGACGCGCGACCGCCGTACTCCTGCTCCGCCGACACGCATTATAATATCGATACCAGGTATGCGGTATACACGCGTATGTGTGTGGCTGCAAATTAAATTTATTTTCCTTTTTTTTTTCGGGAACAAAATCCATCGATTTGGCGACGCGAAGAACACGACTTGCACGCGAACGCGAAATCTAAACTCGCGTGAGGGTGTAGTTGTTAATATTGTTTTCATGTATAATATTATTATCGAACTAAACACACGATATAATACAATAACAAATAGAGAGCGGATCTCAAGGTTATTAYCTATTTAGACTGGCTTAATGCAACTTTACGAGGATGAAAAATGTGCATGGGCGGATAGGCAATTTTTGGCCTACCGGAAAATTTAAAAAAGGGACCATCACATGAAAAAAAATTTAATAATACATTTTATTAAAAGGCCCCATTACCGAAATACGAAGGGGGGCCACCGGGAAATGGCTGCTTGCCCGGTAGGCCTATCCGCCCATAAAAATATGTACGATTTATCCATTACAGAGTTCAAAAAAATTATTTTGAACATCATATTTAGTCTATTTTTCATATTTTAGAATATATTTTATTATTACTGTTCATATAAAATTATACATTTTGATAATTTCTCGAATTGATTTTTTTCCCAGCAACCGTTTTTTTCTTAGCCAAAAAAATAATTTGGCTTAAGAATGATTAAAATTAATAATCCCTCAATTAATAACATTTGTTATGGTTAAATAATTCATCTGTCACTAAAGGATTAGTGCATAGTGATGATTTACTCATATTGTTTTTATTGAACTATTTAAAAAAWAATCATGTTATAACTGCATATTAAAAATACAAGATTAAGGAATATTTAAAACATAATATTGGCATTATATTTTAAGCTTTTAGAAACTTAAAATCCGATTTTAAATTTTAATATAGGTATTATATACGAACATTGCTATAGTTAGCTTGCAGTCTATAATATAATATATTTTATTATAATTACATGTTATAACCCAACGCGATTATCGGTTATTTTATTAAGCAATAATTGAATAATATAATTTAGAAACTAAGAAGGTATACACCAACTTACTGAACTACCCATGTTTAATGCGTATATTATAATTATTTTAAAGAAACTAGTAATGTTAAATCATGAATGACGCAGGCTATGTATAGCCGTGACGAGACGTTGAAGCAAAACGTTTCCGAGAATTCGAGAGCACTATTCACAACGTGCACTGCAGCTATGTAAATTATGTGTACCTGCGTCCTGCAGCCTGTTGCCGTTGTGTAACGTCGAATATAGCAAAACGTATGTTTCGTAGGAACTTATATATAATAATATATACCCTCACGGCCTCACATACACACACACTGCACACTTTTTATAACATTAATATATTATTATACATATACCTAC